CGTAAAGGGAACTTGCCCCCCCCCCCCCGTTGAATCTTGCCTTCATTCCTACACTTATGGATCTCATCAAAGAATCATGGTCTACGCCATAGGTCAGAGAACAGGAGTAAATTACCCCAAATTGGGTAAAAGTAAAAATCCTTGGGGCAATTAGCAGACTGCTACCCCCCTCCCACCCCCACCCTCTGCAGCCAAACATCAAATTGTAAGCCACCTCTCCCTGTTACTTCCTTGATTGCAGCAGGGCACTCATAAATCCTTCTTTTAGAGTTTGGAATTCAGCCTCCCTAATTGGTTACAGCTGGGGATTAGCCCCGGGCAATCAATCAATCCGGGGCTTCTGAATGACTACTTCCTCCGGAAATGACTGCAAACAAGCAGGAGGAAGGAGAGGATCAAGGGGCAAGTAATGGAAAGGAGGGAAGAAAGGTGTGAGAGACCAAGGACTTCATCAAGCTTATTTAAATGTCCAAAATGGAAGGAGAAAATGGAGGGAGGGAGGAAATGGAGGGTGGGTGGGTGGATGGATGGATGTGTGTGTGTGTGAGAGAGAGAGAGTGTGTGAGAGAGAGAGAGAGAGAGACTGGACATCCTAGAGATGGAGAGCCAGATCACAGGCGCATGACAGAGAGTGCAGTGAAGCATGGAGAGATCCAGCTCAGAATGTCTCCAAGGGATGCTTCCCAGGACTCTCCGTGGCCTTTCAAGGAAAAAAAAGAGAGGGGGGGATGGAGGTGGTCAAGACCTGCAACCGACTCACCGATAACAAGCAGTGAACCCAGGGTGTTCTCCTCCTGTGGCTGCCGAGGCTCTCCTGCTCTTTTCCAAAAAGCATCGGGTCTTTGAAAAATGGATGTTCCAGTGCCGGAACTGCTCTGTAGACATAACACCAAGGGGGTCACCGTGGGCACGATGGCACGGAGCAAGCCAGCGCTTTCTGGTTCAAGGTCCTCATGAACCTTGACCAAGGCACGCCTGCTTAGCCATTGGGCTGGCCGTTGACACAACCGTTTGCTTTATTGCTCTTTGGATCAGAACCAGGCCTGGGGTGAGGCCAGGCCTTAAGGAGCTACTCTTTGGACCATCCCATAACAAGCATAGTTTGCTCTCTATGAGTACCTTGTGCTGCTTTACAAAGTCTGGGTTCATCTTCCAAAGGAAGTCCTATCAGAGACAGAATTCGGAAAGCATTAGGGAATGGCAGGGTGCCTCTGAGAATAGGCAGAGTGCT